CTTAATAAACAGATTAGGATCTTAATAAATATTTACCAACTTGGATTTCTGTCAACACAGATCTTACTTAACTGAAATTTACTTTCTCTTTCTTTATTCTGATATATATTCTCTTCTTCAAATTTCCTAACTCTTAAGGCCTGAATGCTATTCGTTTGTCATCACTTACCCGGCTCCATCTACCTCTGCATCCTTACTTAATTCTTAACTGCTTTTTAAAAATCAGATTAACTTTACTTTTTCTGTCTGACTTATTTCACTTAGCATGATATTCTCAAGATCTATCCATGTCACAAATGGCAGTATTCCATCTTTTCTTATCGCTGAGTAGTATTCCATTGTATATATGTACCACGTCTTCTCTATCCAATCATCAAGAATCATAAGATTTCACTCCTATGTGGGATATAAAACAGAAAGCAACAAATACTAGTAAGTAAATAACACAAACAAAAACTCAGAGACACAGACAACAGTAGGGTGGTTACCAAAGGGAGAGGGGGTGGTGGAGAGGTAGAAGAGAGTAAAGAGGGTCAGATACATGATGACATAAGGAGCTTAACTTTGGGAGGTGGACACACAATGTACTATAATATACAGATGATGTATTATAGAGTTATACAGTGAAAACCTATACAATCTTATTAACCAATAAATTTAAGAAAGTATTTTTTAAATCAGATTAAGAAGAGTTTCCAACACGCCGTCTCATTATCTACCCTTTGAGAGAACTTCTGTGATCTTTTTTAAAGTTAAAATACCTTTTTTTCTTTATTTTTCCCATCACCATTTATCCCCCTTATAACCTCTTCCACTCCCACCCACCACCTCCCCTCCACAATAACTGCGCTGTTGTCTGTGTCCATGAGTTCTGTCTTTTTTTTTTTTGCTCAATTCCTCCACCTCCCCCAACACCACCCCTACACCAGAGCTATCTGCCTTTCTCCATCTATCAGTCTGTCTCTATTTTGCTTGTTAGTTCAGTTTGTTCATTAAATTCCACATATGCATGAAATCATATGGTACTTCTCTTTCTATGACTGACTATTTCACTTAGCATAATGCTCTCCAGGAGGACACACAGATGGCCAATAGACATATGAAAAGATGCTCAACTTCACTAATCATCAGGGAAGTGCAAATTAAAACCACGGTGAGATATCATCTCATACCTGTCAGAATGGCTATCACCAATAAATCAATAAACAACAAGTGCTGGCGAGGATGTGGAGAAGAGGGAACCCTGTACACTGTTGGTGGGAATAAGGATTGGTGAAGACACTGTAGGAAACAGTATAATGTTTCCTAAAACAAAATTAAAAATGGAACTGCCTTATGACCCACAGTTCCACTTTTGGGAATTTATCTGAAGAAACCCAAAACACTAATTTGAAAAAAATATATGCACCTCCATGTTCACAGAAGTGTTATTTATAATAGCCAAGATTTGGAAGCAGCCCAAGTGTCCATCAGCTTGAGCAGTGTATGAAACAGCTATGGTACATTTACACACTGGAATACTAGTTGGCCATAAAAAGGAAGAAATTCACCCTTTGCAACAACATGGATGGACCGTCTGTGATCTTAAAAGTCTTTTTGCCTATGTGTGTTTTTCATTATTTTTCCTTGTATGTCAATAAATGAATACAAATAGTATTAGGAAGCAACTTTAAGTTGACTTGTCTTCCCCTCCTACTCTAAAATGCTATATTGAATACTTCTTAACTTGAGCCATCTATATATATTGGCTCCCTTTTCCTGGAAAGACCAAAATATGAGAAAATTTTATTGTTATTTGGCTACAGTATGATAAACTTAGGCATTTATGAAATGTCTGACCTGGTGTCACTGCAGAGGCTGTGTTTTATTTCTATAAATGTCTAATCTTTTTATATAACCCTCCAAATCATAGGATAATGATATAGCAACTTTGCCTGGAGACCTACTACTCATCTGCTCTGAAATGTCATGCATAGTAAAATCTATTTGAGGGTTGTTTGGCCATTGTTCTCTCACTATAAACAAGAGGGTGCCCATGGGATGCTTCGGGGATGGGAAAACTGTCTTTAAAAGGCACAAACACTCTGTGCTCCCAGCTAATGACAGCTAACTGTTGACAGGCCTCCTTTCTGATCCCTGATACACCCACAAGCAACCATTCGTTCAATCCCCAACCAAGCTCTCTTGCAAAATATTACTTCCCTTTTAATGATAGCATCTCAGTTCACCAGAAAGATGAGCCAAATGGGAAACAGAGTGCAGCCTGGCCCTGTTTTCCTTCCTGCTCATAGATGTGACTGTGGAGCACTTTATTTTTTTTTTAATATATTTTATTGATTTTTTACAGAGAGGAAGGGAGAGGGATAGAGAGTTAGAAACATCGATGAGAGAGAAACATCGATCAGCTGCCTCCTGCACACCCCCTACTGGGGATGTGCCCGCAACCCAGGTACATGCCCTTGACCGGAATCGAACCTGGGACCTTTCAGTCCGCAGGCCGACGCTCTATCCACTGGGCCAAACCGGTTTTGGCTGTGGAGCACTTTAAATGGGTACCTGCCGGGGTCCAACCCAGCAGGTCCAGGGGTCCCCAAAGGCGTAGACGGAGTCGGCGAAGAAGGAATGACATGGAGACAGCGTTCAGTTGATCAGCAGCCTTGAAACAGCAAGCATGGACCGGCTCCCGGCAGGTACCCCTTCCACGCATCCCCAAGGCTCCCTTTAGTCTTGATCAAATTTTTCCATCTTGCACGTAGTGAGATGAGGCAAGTCCAAGGACTTGAGCAAGGTTTTGCTGCCAGAGCGGACAAGCAGAGCTGGGTGTGCTTTAGTGATATTATTTGCAATGAGGGATGATTTTGCCTGTGTGGTTGGCTAGTTCACCCCTGGGAGAGGCTTTTTCTACTCTCTGGTTTTACAGCTCACGGTCCTCAAAAGGGCAGGAGGTGATGGTATTGGAGAACCTGAGTTAAAATCATGATTCTATGGAGGAAGAGGGGAGGAAGGGAAGTGGAGGAGGGTACAGGCTGGATAAATGCTGGTGGAAGGAGACTTGACTTGGGGTGGTGAACACACAATATAGTGTGCAGACGATGTGTTGCAGAATTGTGCACCCGAAACCTGGAGAATTGTGATAATCAGTGTCACCCCAATAACTTCAATAAAAAGGAAAAAAATCATGACTCTAAAAAGTTCAATACTGCATTAACACACAGTTATGAAATGCCTACAAGAAGCCGGACTTTGGTGCTTGAAAGATGGGAGGCATAATCCCTGCTTTCATGCAGCCTGCAGACCCAGAGGGGTGTAACAAATGCAGCACAGCGTGGTCAGTGCGGAGCATCTGAGATCTTGCTCCATGGCATGTATCATCAATTCGGCTCAAATAAAATTTTATAAAAAAATTTTAGCCCTAGCCAGTTTTGCTCAATGGTTAGAGTGTCAGCCTGCTGACTAAAGGGTAGGAGGTTGGATTCCAGGTCAAGGGCATGTACCTGAGTTGCAGGTTTGATTCCCAGGCCCCAGTCAGGGAGCATGCATGAGGCAACCAATCAGTGTCTCTCTCTCTCTCTCTCTCTCTCTCTCTCTCTCTCTCTCTCTCTCTCGTCAGGGAGCATGCAGGAGGCAACCAATCAGTGCCTCTCTCTCTCTCTCTCTCTCTCTCTCTCTCTCTCTCTCTCTCGTCAGGGAGCATGCAGGAAGCAACCAATCTCTCTCTCTCTCTTTCTCTTCTCTCTCTCTCTCTCTTTCTCTCTCTCTCTCTTTTCCCTCTCTCCTCCCTCCTGACCTCCCTCACTCTCTCTCTAAATATCAATGGAAAAAAATATCCTCAGGTGAGGATTAACAAAACAAACCAAAAAAAAAAAAAAGAATATCAAAGGGCTATGTAAACTGGGAAGTCCGATTATCACCCTTATGAAAGAGAAGTATTGTATAGGATTCTGTCAAGATTCCACTCAATGATAACAGTGCCATGTGGCAGGAAGAATCTGCCCTGGCTTTGCCAATCACCCACCATCTGTTTTCTGACATATCCCCCCAAAGACCTCAGCTTCCCTCATCTGTAAAATTAGTGGCTTGAACCAAGGAATGAAAGTCCCTTCCGCAGCTGCCATTTTATTCCTGAGTCCTCTTTCAATCTAACTGCCAGTAACCAGCACGTGGCTCCCGCCCCCAGACTATTTCTTTATTCACGCCTAACCTTTACCTTGGCAGATGAAGCGTACAATTCATCGAGCATGTTCGCCAACCCATGGCATATTTCCTGCCCCGCACCCCCACCCCCTCTGTGGGTCACAGACACACAGAACCAGCCTTTCTGGGGCTCAGCCGGCACGGGACAAGGGAGCCAAGGGAAGTCCTGGGCGCAGGTCAGGGTTGTTTGGTTTTGAGGTGTGCTCGGGATGAAAGGCACCTTGAAAGTGGAAGGCTCGGTCATTTATTAATTACTTATAATTGAAGGTTTGTTCTTCAGAATGATTCCTTTGAAATTACTTTCCATCAAACACTGACTGCCACAAAGGCATCAGATGCTCAGGGCATTCTTCATTTCCTCAGCGCGAGTATTTTCACTCTGAGATTCTGTTCTGATCTGAACAGTCCCTGCCCCTCTTGCTTCAGAGCTGGGGGCCGAGGGGTGTCTGTGTGTTTAATGTCTACTTTTTAAAAGAAAAATCTAGGCTACATCAAATAACCCTTTTGTGGACTTTAAACTGACCCTTTTCAGATAACTGAACAATGGAAAAATTCCACGGGAAGATTAAAAAGACACCTGAGACAAACATCCACCTAATGTTGTGGCCACTCCTCCGGGTTACAACTGGAAGGGAGAAACAAACTGGTCTATCGATGTGGCTCTAAACAACAACAGTGTGTGTGGAGGCCTGGGGCGCTTCGGGATTGACCAAGAGGAAACACATGTTGCACAATGATATGATCTTGTTGGTACAGTTGTCAAAGGAGGGAACTCCCACAGCAAAGGGCATAAAACCATCCAGGGCAGTCTGGGGCGGCTCAGTTCTGCGGTGCCAGGGAGCAGAGCAGAGCCCAGCCCCGCCCCACACACAAATGGGACCATGAGCTCCAGCCACAGCTTCAGCCAGATCCCCTCTGGCTCCCTCCCTGGCACCAGAGGTGGCTGGGGCCGGCCGGGGGGCTTCCCCCGGGCTCCCAGCGTCCACGGGGGTGCAGGGGGCATCCGCATCTCCCTTTCCTTCACCTCCCCAAGCTGCCTGCCCCCGGGAAGGTCTTGGGGGTCTGGAAGAGGCAGCTCCCTCCTAGGTGGAAATGGGAAGGTGACGATGCAGAACCTCAATGAGCGCCTGGCCTCCTACCTGGACAAGGTGCGTGCTCTGGAGGAGGCCAACGTGAAGCTCGAGAGCCGCATCCTGAAGTGGCACCAGGAGAGAGACCCTGGCAGCAAGCAAGATTATTCCCAGTATGAGGAGAACATCAGCCGCCTGCAGGAGCAGGTAAGACCCTCAGGGTGGGTGGTGTGTTTCCAGGAAACCCCTGAGAGGAGAAATCAGTAGAAAAGACAACTGCCAGGAAAATGGCAAAAGAGCTTAAAGTAATTGTGAACAAAGGTAGTTGAGGATATTTTCTTATTTTACCTTGCATTTGGACTTTGGAGAGTCTGTTGTATTTATTTAAATCTGTACATCAATTATGTGGGGGGAAATCTAAAGAGTCTAAGGCAACCAGCTGCTGTCCAGTGTCACTGTGGCCCAGCGATGTAATAATAATGACAAAGGCTGGACTTCATTCCTTGTGTTCAGTGCACGAGGCACGAGTCAGCCTTTGCTTTCTCATCAGTTCTGCTCCACCTCAAGTGGCAACAGTGTGATTATCTGGCAAAGAGAGGCTGAGTTATATTATTTTGGAGATCACATCTAAAAGGTGTCACTCCACGGGCAAATACATAATTGTGACATCCCTGGATACTTCTTGGCAGCTACTAGAAGTTCTGAGTTTCTAGATGCTAGTAGTTCCAAAAATGGCATATTGCTAGAGAAAAAAATAATGAAAAGAGCATAATTTTGGAATCTTAGAGTTAGGATGGGTTATGGAGACTTCTTCAAAAAATAACTTTTCAACCAAATATTTTAAAAGTTAAGCTTATAGCTTCTGGAGGATCTTATAACATTGGCTAGAGTAGAAGGAACCCAGTCATCTCACAGGTTATTTTTTAGCTACATAACTTCCCTCTATGTAAAGCAGTTCCAAAAAATGTCCTGCAGGATCACGATTTAACCTCCCCTGAAAAGGGCATCACAGGTTTCCAATATGCATATGATGTTATTTCTCAACACTCAGTCATCCTTGCGTGAATGTAGGAAGGACCAACCAAGATAATATAAATCTGTCCTCATAATAAACCCTAATTATTGAATAAGCAACCTAATAACTGACTGTGTAATTACCTTAACTATATAGTACATGGTTGTCTTTACATTAAAAAAAAAAAAAAACAAGGTGACTCAACAAACCTCACCATATTTTTTTCATTAATAAAGTTGCTTTGGTTTCAGAATGGAGAGAATAAAAGATTTTTGCAAGCGGACAGCTGAGAATATAACTCCCAAAAGAAATGTAAGGTTAGACCCGGTCAAATAATGTATTAGCTGACAGCAGAGAGGAGGAAAAGGGAGAGAAAGGAGGGAAACATTTGTTGAGCACTTACTGTATGCCAGGCATCATGCTGGGTATTTAATACACCTATCCGTGCCATCCGACAGTTTTCTGCAATGATGGAAACGTCCTATAGCACCTGATTTAATTCTCACAACAATCCTGGAAAGAACCGAAGCTCAGAAGAGTGAAATAGCAATCCAAAGGCACTGGGAAGGGCCAGAGATGGGACTCTAACCCAAGTCTGCTTCCAATGGCCTCAATTTCCACACAATACGGTGCTGACTGGCCTACCTCACACAACAATGATACTGCTCATGAATAAAGATATTGCATTGTATTTGCATTGTTAATTATGCAACACATATTTCATACACATCATTTCATTCTGTGAAGCAGGTATTTCTATCCCCAATACATAGATGAGCCGACTGAGACCAAGTGGCTGCCTAAATTCATGAGAGCAGAACTGAGAAAAGTGAGTGGGACCCATGACAAGGAGGGGGCAGCTTGCCCACTGTTCAGGTGTCCCTGGAATCTAAGTTCTGACATTAAATAGGAGTCTTTTTCAGCTTTGAATTACACTCTTTTCTGGGTTTCTTGCTTCAGTGTTACATCTTCTCCATGTTGGAAGAAAACAACTCTTTGAAGCTGAGGTTGTCTGCCTATCCCACTCTCTCCTGTTTGCAGCTGAGAAAACAGAAACCAGACAGGTTCCCCAAGTACTGGTACCTGGGGCTGACCCCTTCCTGGGCCTTGATATAAGTTCTGAGTAGATATATCACTCTCTCACCCCCATTTTAGGGATATTAAATGTTATTCAAAAAGTCTATAAGAAATTGTGTTCAAAAATTAATCCACTTCCTTTGAAACACAGAGCTGGACATAGAGAGATATTAGAATAGCTCATAATAGAACTCTACTTGGTGCTTTGGATTACGATAAAATATTCTACATTCCTCTTCCTGGTAGGAGATTACACACCCTGGAGCAATGATGCTGTACTACTAATACACCAACTAGATTATTTTAAAAGAATTAACTCAGGGCTTTGGGGAGAATCCAGGTGATTAATTATAACACACAATGCCAAACCTATGCCTCACATATTATTTCTCAATCCACCCTCATCCATTCATTATTGCAAAGGATGTCTCAGAAATAGTGGCTGTGTCATAATACTGTATCAGGCAATCCAAACAGTGGGAAATGGTTTCCATTTCTAAATGTGCTCTCTATCAAGTGCATTTCAGAGCTCACCACTCCTGCACTATGAGAATGCTGGCTGGGAGAATCTGAGTCTTGCTGGGGCTTTGCAATTGATAAATTATCATTTTAACTCACTAAAGATGGTATTTTTTATTCTGTGGAGTCTATAGGGAATGGTTTCTCTACATGTCAATCAATACCTCAGTGCACAACTAAGGCTAACCCCAGGGATCCCCAGGCCGTTTTGGATGGAGCTACTTTCTATTTCCCATGAGCTTAAATAATGCAAAGAATAAAAAGTCTGGGGGGAGGGGAAGAATTTGGTAAGAAAGTCCCTAAGAAACACTGTAAGACAAGGAAATACCTACAGAATCTTTTTGTAGCGCAAAGGAAGCAGTCATAGTACCATTTGGAATCCATCCACCAAAGGAAGAATGAAGGTGGACAGGGGAAGCCAACCTGGCCATCTCTTACCACAAACAGAGTTTGAGGGTACACCTCAACAGTAAATCCTGAGATTTATCCAATGCACACATTGGCTCTAGTTACAAAAGTGTTAGACTTTAAAGAAGAAAATTTTGAACTAATTTTTCAGTGTCTACAGTATGCCCAGAAAAGGCTAAGGATTTTACAACATTATTTTCGCTCTCCTAATCTAATTCTCATAACCTCATTGTCATTTTATGAATGAAGAAACGGACACGTGGCAAGCTCACTCAGCTGGTGGCGTCCAGGCCAACTGTTGTCGCCACCTCTGAATCCTGCTATTGTGCATTCATAATACCAAATTCCATCTAACCGGTGAAGCTTTGAATAGGACCAGGTTTTTTTAAAGGTGCCTTTGTTTTCAAGTATAACTTTGTCCTAAGAACATCCTTTCTTAAGAAGGGAATTATTTGTATAAATATAATGGAATGTCACAAGACTGTCTGATCCCAAATAAATTACAGAAGTTTAGAGCTATGACCTCTAAGGTCACCTGTTTTTAGTATAAACTCCTTATCTAACAAGGGATGGAACTGAAGCCCAAGGAATGTAGTGGCTGGCCCAAGTTCACACCGATGGTCAGTGACAGGAAGGAAAAGGAAAACCTCCCAGGTTCCAGTTCAGCATAATGTTTGGTACAAAGTATATTATACTCTTGACACTGAGACATCTTCCACCCAATTTTCCTGAAGGCAGAGACATACAGCAAATGTAGACTAGTTCTCTGATTAAAACCTCCTAGAAGTGTTTACAAACCCTATATGTATACACAACTGCTCAAGTAGGTACTTTCAGTAACATTTCTCCTTTTAAAGTGAAAAGTATATAAACATCTAGTGAAAGTGTTTGACAGGAGGCTTCAACACAATTAAAGTTTACTAAGCTGGTAAAGAATCATTTCATTTAATATTTTAATAGCTACAATTGGGGCATTCTCATCATGGAATAATTGACAAACACATACCTACTTATGGTATGTGACGACCGTAATAAAATACATTTAAAATTAGTTTCAAAAACTAATGCCAGTTGACATTTTGTATCAAGTGATACTTTGCTCAGTAGTCACAGATCAGAAATATGAATGCGATCACGAGAAAGAATTATGTTCATTTAAAATAATTATTTTACTTTAGGGGAGCCAAACTAATATTCACAGTAAGAAAAGGACCAGACTCTAAACCACTTTTAACATCTTCAATGTGGGGGCACTTGAGCAAAACAGTAAGATGTGTTTATAGTCCTAGAAAGTTAGAAGGCATTTTGAATAATTACACTCTTTCCTCTTCCTTTTGGCATCTGTCAAAACTCCATGTAAAAAAAGACAATGCAGACCACACCCTTACTATAAAATCATTTTATGCTTCGCACCTAGTAAGAGCTCAATAAATATGTGTCGATGTGATTGCTCCACTGCCAGGAAACAAGTCATCTGTTCTAACAAGTCATGGAACCAGGAGACTAGAGAACAGAAAGGCAGCTTTCCTGTGCCGCGTGTCCCGCGGAAATGACTCTTGGTGCGTCTCTTACAGATAGTGGACGGCAAGCTGACCAATGTTCAGGTGTTTCTTCTCCTTGACAACGCCAGGATGGCAGTGGATGACTTCAACCTCAAGTAAGTCCCTTCCTCAGTGTTGGGGGGGGGGGGGGGGGGGGGAGTTATTTGGTGTATCTTTTTGTTTTGTTTTGTGGGTTGTTCTTGTTCTTGTTTTTGCTTTCCAGAGAAAACTTATCTCACCATTAGCTACATGGAAAAATCTTACTGGAATATAATTAAAAGGCAAACAAGAATAAATACTTGGCTGGGCCCTACTTTAAATAAATCAGATAATAAAACACACTTTTTGTTGTGAGGAAATTTGAATAAGAACCAAGAATTAGATGGCATTAAAGAGGTGTTTTTTTTTTTTGGCCCTAGCTGGTTTGGCTCAGTGGATAGAACATTGGCCTGAGGACCGAAGGGTCACGGGTTCGATACCGGTCAAGGGCATGTACCAAGGTTGTAGGCTCCTCCCCTGCTCAGCCCTGGTCAGGGCACATGCAGGAGGCAGCCAATCTATGAGTTTCTCTCACATCACTATTTTTCTCTGTCTTTCCTTCTCTCTTCCATTCTCTCTAAAAATCAATGAAAAAATATTGTTGGGTGAGGATTTTAAAAAAATAAATAAATCTTTGCAATAAACCTGTAAGGTGGGGGTGTTTAAAAAGGGGAGTTTTTAATGTTTTAGGTGAGATACTGTTATTATCCTTATTTAGAAGGATGTATTTTTCTTAAAAGATGCATTCAGAAGCATTTAGGGGTGAAATGTTATGTCTAAAATTTACATTAAAATACAAAATGAAATACAGATGAAGCAAATATGGCAAACTGTTAATGACTGCTAAATCTAGGTGATGAGCACATGGCTGTTCATTATTTTATTCTATTTTTAAAAATAACATTGAGTCACCATTATAGAAAAATACGCATGAAACACACATATAAAGAATAAATAGTCTGTATTAATTGTTTTTCCATTAAACCCAAAAAGTATGAGCATCACCTCTAAACGAAGGTGAATCCTTACAAAGACTGCAGCCTTCCAACAACAGGCGTACCCTTTTTTCCTTCTAACCAAAGGTATGAAAATGAACACTCCTTCAAGAAAGACTTGGAAATTGGAGTGGAGAGTCTCCGAAAGACCTTGGATGATCTAACCATTGTCACAACAGACCTGGAACAGGAGGTGGAGGGGTTGAGGAAAGAGCTCATCCTCATGAAGAAGCACCATGAGCAGGTAGGACTCCCCAGCAATCACCAGCTCGGCTCCTAATGGGCACATCTTAGGTGATCCAATAGCTACAGAAGAAACTACTACCTCTATGCCAGTTCTATTGTCCTTGAACCTAAATAATCATCAGGAACCATATAAACATCTAACTTTTCCAATTCCAAGGTTATCTACTCAGATGTCAAATACAACAGCCAAAATACAATCACAATTAACAAAAGATGGGTCAACAATTTTAATATGCAATGTTTACCTAGGTTTGATTGTTATAAAGTACTGCCCAGTGGTTGAGCATCAACCCATGCACCAAAAGGTCACCGGTTCGATTCCTGGTCAGGGCACATGCCCTGGTTACCAGTTCAATCCCCAGTACAGGTTGTGCAGGAGGTAGCACCTGGTAGATGTTTCTCTCTCATTGATATTTCTATCTCTCTTCCTCTCCCTTCCTCTAAAATCAATAAAAACATTTTTAAAATATTGTAGGAATAAATGTGTGAGACTTTATTGACCCAATGTGCAGCAAATTGAGGGCCAACAGAATAAAGAGAATCTGCTACTAACCAAGCTATATATGACTAGTAGCAAAAATTAAGAATCCTAACTTCCAGAAACATTTAACCAATTTTTGAAGTTACCATCCATCTAAAGTCCCTGAGACATTGATAAAATGATAGAAAAGCAATCCTTATTTTAGGCAAACAAAATTGATTATGAACATCAAAGCTAGTTACACAATGATTGTTAACCCTTTCCTGTGGTTCCTTGGTTTTGATGATATCCAATGGGTGTCAGCCCTACAGAATCCTAATGCACTGATGAGATTTTAAAAGCCTCTATACTTTTGGCTTTGGATTACTGAACTGCTTCCCAAATGCTTTGGTCTACATCCTGAAATGTTCACCTGCTTAGCTGTGTCATCACTTCACCCATAAACATTTGCTGAAGAGTACTTTACACACTACGTAAGCGTAATTCTTGCTGAAACATTTTTAACCAGGGATTAAGTCAGTAATCATAGAGGCCATACAGTTACCTGTCTGGTGCTATTCTTTATTTTACAAAAGTATAAGAGGAAAAATTCATATAATGTTTTGTCATCGATAACTAATAACTGAGACGCCAAACCAAACCAGTGAAAGAGTAGCAACCACGTGAGCTGAAATTTTTAAAAGATCCATTCACTGCTGCCAGTCAACACACTTCCTTCTGATGCCCACAGCCCATTCGTTTTCTTTCTCTGTTATTAAACAGGAAATGGAGGGACAGCCTGTGCCAAATGACTTCAAGGTCAACGTGAAGCTGAATACCACCCCAGGGGAAGATCTGATTAAGATCCTGGAGGACATGAGGCAAGAATACGAGTTTATGATAAAGAAGAAGCATCGAGACTTGGATGCTTGGTATAAAGAGCAGGTAAAAGGAAAGTGTCCAAACTCCCCAAAGGTTCCATGTCCATGTGGCCCAATGCCAACGCCTCTGCTCTTTGCTCGGTCACAGTCAGCAGCCATTGCCCAGGAGACCGCCGGTCCAACCGCTGTGCAGACCAACCAGGGCAACATCCAGGAGCTGAAGCGCACTTTCCAGGCCCTGGAGATTGACCTGCAGGCGCAGCACAACAGGGTGAGTCTGAGCTAGGACCATCCTGAGTCAGGTCATGTCAGCATAAGGAGGTAAGGAACAGATCAGGGCAGGCACCTTGCGCCCCATCCCAAATGAGCAGCAGAAACAACAAATGCCACGGACGTGCGGCAGAGCCGCCAAGAGAACCCCGACACAAAGGTTTTACGCCAAGAAAATGGGCTTCAAAAGTCCAGACACTGCTCAACTCCTGGCTGCCCACGTCCCCAACCTAGGAGTCAGCCTGCTTCCCCTCTTTGCATTCCCAGCAGCCACCAAGACACCTCGCAGAGTGGTCGGCGGATTCTAACTACTCAGCAAGCACGCGTTATTGAATCAATCAAGCCGTCAGCCAATTAATGTCAGAAACGTCATTTCCTCTTTCAGAAATCTGCTTTGGAAAACATGTTGTCGGAGACCCAGTCTCGGTACTCCTGCCAGCTCCAGGACATGCAACGCATCATCTCCCACTACGAGGAGGAACTGCTGCAGCTGCGCCGTGACCTGGAGCGGCAGAACAGCGAATACAAGGTCCTCCTGGGCATCAAAACCCACCTCGAGAAGGAAATCTCCACCTATCGCCAGCTACTGGAGGGCGAGAGCCAAGGGTGAGGCAAAGGCTGGCAGGGGAGGGTGCAAAGGGCACCCAGCTAGCATTTGTACATTTGTGTACCCTATGGTTCTGTTAGCAATCGTCACTCTAAAGCAAAGGGGTTTATGTTGAATTTCTCCTGAAGACACTTAGATCAGATTGTATTTCGTTAAGCAGAAAGTTTTAACATGTTAAGTGCCATGGCAGTCACCAGTGACTGACACTATACTCTTCATCCAGAAGACAAAACAGGCTGGGCGCTTAACGTGTGAATTAATCAGGATTACTCCCAGGACACTGGGATTTGAGGTCAACCGTTGAAATTAATATATTAAAATCTCTAGAAAGAAACAAGAAGGGATAGCTCCAGTGTTTCCCAGTGAGAATACACACAATTCGAGCTCCAAAAAAAAGGGAGATTAGGGGAATATTTTAGCCTAACAGCAGGAAGAGATTCATAAGGGAGTAAGGTACCTAGATTTTCAATCTCTTATTTCTGACTACCTTGGGAAGTAGTTGTCCACAGAAAGGGCACAGACATTTTATAATCCAAGAGAAGGAGTTATAGTTTTTTTAAAAGGAGTTATAGTTTTTTTAAAATGCATAAATTTCTTAAGAAGCCCAGGGTTCTGGGCTTCAGACCCAGACCCTGGAAAGGATCCTGATGAAGGTGCCGCCTTGCAGGTGGCTAGAAGGATGGGTCATGAGATTTCTCTGCCCCCAGGGTTAGTGGAAGGCAGCACTCCCTGCCCTCTGGGTCTGGGAGGGTTCTTCCATGACCTCATGACCTTGGACTAGCTCAGAGAATCATCCTCATTAGATGGGTACAAATTTACAAGCAGGCAAAGGAAGCCAATTCAATGTAAGACGTTTTTATGATTATTGCTAATACTAAAATGAGCTTTAATCTTTATTACTTTTATAGAACAACAGAGGAATCTAAGCTGAGCGCGAGAGGTAAATAAATTTCTTCCATTGTTTGAATCTACTTTTTAAAACTAAATCAGCATACTTATCCATTCTGTAGTATTCATCATCTTTAGTGTACTCCCAAATGTCCTGTATTCAATTTTTATTTTACTCAATTTTTAATTAAATTAACAAATTAGATGATACGAAGTGAGCTCTCAATATTGTCCTCAACAATATATATGAAAGCTCTTTGCAAGTGGTAAAGTAGATAAAAATAATCATTGTTATTATGCCTCTATTAACTAATGGAGGCTGTTTATTACACTCCGAAGAGAATACAAGGAAATGGTTTCACGTAATTTCCCAAACTGTCTTGTGTTGAACATCAGTGCCCCATGAGATTTTAACTGTGTATTATGAAAGACACATTCTATGACCGGATAAGACCTATCCTCTTTGTGAAGAGCCATGTTGTGTTTCGGTACATTAAAGATGAAACAATGCTGGAAAGGCACTTTTCAGAGAAGAAAAGGAACAAGAATGGGAAAGAATGACAAAAGTTCTATTTTGTTTAACCCAGTGTTCCCTAACATCTTTGACCTGGGAACTCTACTTTCTCAGAGAGCCTTTAACATCTCACAGAAAAATTCTAAGAAACCAGTCTGGAACAAGTGGCACTTTCTGAGTAGTTTGTGGTAAAAATATCCTAAGGCACTAGAGCATCGGTTCTCAACCTGTGGGTCGCGACCCCTTTGGCGGTCGAACGACCCTTTCACAGGGGTCGCCTGAGACCATCCTGCATATCAGATACTTACATTACGATTCATAACAGTAGCAACACTACAGTTATGAAGTAGCAACAAAATAATCTTATGGTTGGGTCACAACATGAGGAACTGTATTTAAAGGGCCAGAAGGTTGAGAACCACTGCACTAGAGATTCAGAGAATCAGACTTCAAGTAACCATCACAGAACAGGTGGTCAAACTGCTACCCCTCTGCAAGATCTCCATAGAGGGTCCTCCAGCCTCTCTCCTTACCCAAACCCAGGGATGCGGAACCCCATACTGAATGGGGTGGTCCAATTTCCTGTTGGAGAGGTTTGATTTTAACCAAGTTCTCCCTGTATCTCTGTTAATGGTTTCAATTCTTCCCCTCCTTTACCCCCGGTTTAGAATCAATTTATTGATGTGTCAACAGGCACTTATTCAAATCAATCGTATTTTTGAATACAGTGACCCAAATAAACATCCCTGGCTTGTTGCCATCCCTCACATGGGAAGCTTGCTAGATCTTAAAATGAGGTGCCCAGAATGGCTTTCAGTGCTCCATACACTCACGGAGTCATGGTGCACGTGCTACAAAACCCACATAAGCAATCCGACTCCTCCAGTGCTTGTGGTCAGTGATTAGATTCTGGATCAGGCGTGCCTAGATTGAAGGTCTTGACCCCTAGAAGATGGCACTGCCCAGACACCCTCATTCCTTAGAGGGTGGGAAGAATAACCTTTTCACTCCAGCAGGGACCGCCATATTGCGTAGTGATCATTTTGGAAGGCACGGAGAGCATAACGGGTGCTGAAAACAGCACAGTTCAGATGGTGGGGGAAGCATGGCACTGACCTCTTCATTGCTCTTTTCCTCGGCAGCTGTGGCGCCCAAGATCAAGACCATCACACGGGAGAGCATCAATGGAAGAATAATTTATTCTCAAGTGAATGAGATCCAAAAGTATGCATGAGGCTAATAAAAGTTTCTGCCTGTTGTAAAAACTATTTTTCTGCAATGGAGAGTCCCTTCCTTGCCCAGACACAAATGGGTGAGTCCTAAGAGGTATCCTTGGAGTTATCAAACTCAACAACATTTTTCTCTGTAACCATCTCATCAGACATCCCATAATGATCTTAATATACTGCTGTACGTTTGAATCAGAGTATGAGTTCATGAGCTTAAAGCTCTACTTTCCCACTGCAATCTTCAGAGTCCATCATTGTGTATCTGTTTTATAGCCAATAAACCTTCATACAGCTGCATCACGTCTCCTTTATATCATCAGGCAAGACAAGACCTAGGTCTCCTCTTAACCAGGGCTACTCGGAGCATTGTCCATAAAAGACCCACGGGGACCTTAATGCTCTGAACATGTGCGCAGCAGCCAAACACTGGGTAGAACTGCTACCCTGCAGCCATGCAACTTAGGGACAAGATGTGGCTCGTGAGCCTCTCCAGACTTCTGCCAACAAGAAGGACGGAAACAGAGAAAAGGAGGCCCAGAAAGCCTCACTTAGAATGAGAGAGGACCAAAAATTATTTTAACTCACATAAAAAGTATTAATTAATTAGTTAAAAGCTTAAGGGCCTAACAGCGAGCTACTAGTAACATTAGAAAAGGAAATTCAGGGGGGAAAAAATTCTTATAACAGATAGAAACTAAGACCCAAAAGAGGAAGTGACTTGTCCAATATCCAAATTATAAATATCAGGATCTGGAGTATTGTATTGAGGTGTACTACAGAATGGGTAAGTATGCTGATTTATTTTTAAAAAGTAGATTCAAACAATGGAAGAAATTTATTTACCTCTCACGCTCAGCTTAGATTTCTCTGCTGTTCTATAAAAGTAATAAAGATTAAAGCTCGTTTTAGTATTAGCAATAATCATAAATTTATATTTAAGGAATGTAGCATTTGTAAGCTGGTGGAGTGGTGATAAGGCTAAAAAGGGAGCAAGGACTCGAATTATGTTGGGAAAAGACAAATAAGAGAAAAGGAGCCAAGGAAGTTTCCTTCGCATAGAGACTCTCAAACTTGGCTGCACCTCAGGATCAGCTGGGGAAATTTTAAAATTCTAATGCCCAAGCCATGTTATAGATCAATTAAATTAAGGGTTTGAAGGTTGGGACCAAGGGATCAATATATTTTAAAGATTCCCAAAGAAAATGCAATGTGACTAATGGGAACATCTAAGTAAATTCTTCCTTAAAGAAATAACAGATAAGTATTCCCTAAATACATATTTCATATTCCTCTACTAATTAATTAGGCATCGCATGTAAGTTCAAATGGAAAAAAAAAATAGAAGCATCAGAAGAAAACATATTGAACTCTCTTATTTAAGAGATGAGGAAGCGAAAGTCTAGAGAGGTTAGCCAAGCCCTCCTGGAACTCAGATCTCATTTCTACCTATTTGTAACCTACAAGTAACATCTCTGACATATGGAAACATCAGTACTGAAGAAAGCAACACATGATTTTAAAAATGCTAGCAAATTAAAAATAATAATTCTAAATGTGTGAATTATTGAAAAGCCAAAAATAATTAAGGTATAAGCTCTTAAATTGAAACCAATTTGTAAAAATGCCATGAATTAAAAAAAGAAAAGTAAGCCTAACATAATTACTAGAGGTTGGATAGTTTTCTTTTTTTTTTTTTTAACAGATGGCCTTAAATTATTTAACATACTATATGTAGCGTGAGGATTTTTAACAGTTTAGATTGTTTCAAATAATATAGCATACCATTTCTTTGGGACAAAAATAACATAATTCCAAAAATACCTTTTACGAACATCAGCAATATTATAACATAGTTAATTACACCAACTTAGCCTTTCACAATTGAAACTGGATACTAAATAACAGTATATTCTGAGTATGCAGTAGTTATTGGTGGGCCCAATGAATCCATACCACCAGGACTCATGCTTTTCAGTATTCTCTCCCACATTTACTCTGGGTTTGGCCATGTGGCTTGATTTGGCCAATGAAGTATCAGCAAACATGATACAGGCAGAGGTTTAATAAATGCTTTCACATTGGGGCTTATTTCCTTGGAATGCTCCTGCTAAGAAGCTAGCTACCATGTAAGTTCACTTACCCTGAGACTACCATGCTATATGAAAGCCCAAGCCAGCCTCATGCAGAAGCCACATGGAGGAAAACTGAGGAGCCCAGCCAACAGCCATACTGAAGCTCTAGACCCAGCGGTGGGCAAACTTTTTGACTCGAGGGCCACAATGGGTTCTTAAACTGGACCGGAGGGCCGGAACAAAAGCATGGATGCAGTGTTTGTGTGAACTAATATAAATTCAAAGTAAACATCATTACATAAAAGGGTACGGTCTTTTTTTTCAATAGTTTTATTCATTTCAAATGGCCGGATCCGGCCCGCGGGCTGTAGTTTGCCCACGGCTGCTCTAGATTGACTCTGATCAAGCCATTCCCGCTGGTTCCCAGACAGTCGAGCCAACCCAACTGAAGTCCCGCACATCACAGAGCAGAGCTAAGCCAGTCCCGGTATTCTGAGTCTGAAATTCTGACCCATGGAATTATGAACAAATAAAATATGTTGTATTTTTAAGCCAGTAAGTTTTGGGCATCATTTTCCATGTGGCAATGGATAAGCAAAACAAAGTACTTAAAATACTAGAGTCTATTATTTTCTGATTTAAGGCTAGCTCACTAGCATCCTGCCAAACTTTTGACCAGAATTTTAGTCATTTTAACACTGAAATGGATCTCTACAGAAGTCTTGGTCCAATGGCCACAGATGAAGCACCAAAGCGTCCAAGAAAAAAATAACCAAAGCCTTCCCTCTTCAAAGATGGCAGAGTAAAGCCATTTCCCATGAATGGTCATAACTACCATCTCTGCCTCTTCACAAGTGGAATCCAAGCAGTGCAACTCCAACAAGGAGAATAGGACAGTCCCTGCTCTTTACTAGAGCACGCTGGGTTGCCCAGGTAAATCTTCTCCTTATCTTGGAGTTTCGATTCCTTTTGATTCTGTCTTTAAGTTCCTCATTCCAGGGACATTAACAACAAGTTCTCTATAAATATTTATACATACAGTAAGTATCACACATATCAAAAGTTTCACTAAAAGGTGACCTCTTTTCAATGTAGATAAGAAATGCTCTTCTTCGCCAAGAAACTATAAGGCCTGTACAGATTAAGATGATCCTGATTATCAGGTAGTTCTTAATTATAATGTTTAAGTTTTTAAGTCATTAAGACCCTTGACTATTGGCCATTCACTCTAGGTATATTTCTTCACAATGGTGTATTTTAAATGCTATCCTCTTATATGGTCTTTAACCAATAAATACTTTTAAGATTTTTGGTGTTTTTATACATCCCCTAAGTGTTTTATTGCTTATTTGTGTATCATTTGTGTTTCTCCATCATACTACATGCCTGAGATCATTCCCTTTCTGTAACTCATTCCCCATTTAATTTATTCTATTACAACATCTGTAAGTCACCACTATCTTTCTGAAGAGGATTCAAGAATTTCTAAAAAATATTTGCAGTTAGGTCATGCAAAAAGGAAAAAAAGACAGTGTCTCTGACATACTTCACCATCTGAAGGCCTAACCATACTTAGAAGTTTTACTGAAGAACTGTGTGTGTGTGTGTGTGTGTGTGTGTGTGTGATACCAATACATGGACTGTGCTACTCACCAAAACTAGTCTTTAAAATTTAAATTAGGAGCCATCTAATAAAATTATGAGTCATCTAACAAAAACTACAAGTGAATTTATATTAAATTTTGAAGTGTGCATACACAACATAATACTCATGCATGTGACATACATACACACATATACTAGAGGAAGTTTTAACAATAACAACTATTGTTTTTTTACTGATTGATTTTAGAGAGAGGAAGGAGAAGGAGTGGGGGGGAGAAAAACATCAACATGCACCCTGACAGGGGATCAAACCTGAAACCTGGGTATGTGCCCAGACCAGGAATTAAACCCACCACCTTTGGTGTATGGGATGACGCTCCAACCGAGTCACACAATAATAACAACTATTCTTGACTGGCATTTGCATTCCTAATCTCATTTAACATTGGTCACAACACCGCAAGGTATTATTATATTCATTTTACAGTTAAGGAAACTGGGACTCATATAGAGTGAATTACTTGATCTGTGGTCATACAGCTTAAAAATGGTGGAATCAGGATTTTACCCAATGTACTTGCTTTTCTACTGTGTCACACAGTTAAAAATGATTGCTAAAGAGTTATGTGAAACCTAAGCACAGGCAACATGTCTTGATGAACTCTTGCTAATGGTTTTTATCTTAAGGTGAGAGTCCAGGGATGAGAAATCTGAATATACATGTTACTAGAATAATGCACAAGAGCCAGAAATCTGTAAGGACTAGGGAGAGACAGGGTTTTATAAACAAGAGCTATCACCCAAACCCAAGAGTCACCTTCCCATTACCCAAACCCAAGCACTCAATCTTCTGTGCACAGAAGCAGTCCCTTAACTTGCCACTCCCTTAGCCTGAAACTCTACCAGTTAACACAAGGGAAGAGTTTAGCAAGTTCCAAAACCAGAGGACCTCACCCCTTAATCTTTCCAGTTAGACCTTACACTCATGCCTAGTTTCTATCAAAATGATCGCTCCCCATGCACCTAGAGAACAAAAAAGGAAGACAGAAGACAGTAATGATGGACGAGCCATACTTACACAAACTATGTTAGAAATATTTCATCACAGTCTCATCACAAAAACATATTTGAAGATTTCTACTTACCATTTCCAACACTCTAGGAAGCAGTAGTTTGGGGTCAATATCTAATTCCATCTTATAAATATATCAGTGCTTCTTTCTAATAGTGACTGGCTCCATAGTAGACACATGTTAGGAGCCTAAGTATTCTTTGACTGGTCCTTAATTCCAATTCATATGTGAATTTCTTTTTAATGTGCATAGTAACCTGGGGGTCTTCTTAAAAATTCAGATTCTGGGTTTCTAGTAGGTCTGGATTGGAATCCAAGATTCTGCATTTCTAACAAGCACCCAGATGATGCTGAGATTGATGATTTATAGGCCACGCTGAATAGCAAGATTATAGATGAGTTCAATCCATCAGCCATTTGCCATATCCCCTAGCCTAGAAGATTAAAATTCTTATCTAAAAGCCAGCCTCAGTAGGTTTAATACGGATTGAACTAGGTGAAAAATATAGCAGGTAAGGTGGCATCACTAGAATCCCATTAGCATTGTC